TTGACGCTTATAAACACAAGCCTATATATATATATTATAATAGTTATATTGAATCAAATTATTTTTATATGGATTTTCTTTGATAATAGTATCACCTAGCATGATCAAGTCGACCTAACCTCATGCTTAGTTTGAACGAGCCAAGCTAGACACAAGTTCACCCCTTAATAGGCCCCTGATCCATTAGTTCCACAAGGCAAAATTTAGGCAATTCATCCACAATGTCTGTAGGATTATTTTCGTGTCACATATCTATTAGAATTCGAGATCACATTATCAAGAACAATATCTCCACTTATCAAGAAAATATTTCCTAAATCATGCAACATTATTTCTAAGTTTAGAGATAAGATCGATTACCTATATATGAGACACCATGTATCACTCTAACCCTAATTCACACTTACCTATACTCTCTTCAAACTTGAGCATAAGAGTATCTTTGTAGGTGTCCCCCCCGGTGTCAGTAATCGAATTGTGGAGAACACCCTCTCTTCTATTAGAGCACTTGCAAATTCTGGTAAGAACAGTAAGTATATTTAGGGTTTTTTTCAACCTTTTTTTATTTTTATTTTTGAATTGAATTTTTATTAAGAGGAGGGATCCGTTTACTCCAGGAGTAAGTATACATAGACTTACTTCGTTCAATAATTCATGCTTTACAACAAATCTTAACAATCCAACCGCTGAATTTAAAGTTCTTAGTGCATAAATCAAATCTGCAAATTTTAAAAAAATTTGAAAATCATTTGATACTTCGTCACATTAATTCAAATTGACTAATAACTATAAAAATATAGTATACGTTGATTTGAATTAATGAAAAGAAGTATCAAATGGTTTTCACATTTTTTTTTAAATTTACAAATTTGATCTATGCATTAAGAACTTTAAATTCAATGGTTAGATCGTTGAAATTTAATGTAGAGCATGAGTTATTGAACATAGTAAGTCTAGGTAAACTTACTTCTAGAGTACATAGATCTCTTCTCATATATTAATTATGACACTCTTTTACTTTGAATAATTAAATAAAGGATTTTATATATAATACAATTTTATTTTCAAGAATGTGTATAATGTAAGGCTTCTTAAACAACAATTCTTAGTAAAAGGGTTCATTAATCTTTCAACAACTCTATACATTAATAAAAGAAACCATAACTAAACAATGTATAAAGTTAAAAAAAAAAAGGCACAAACTGCGTATTTGAACAAAAATTTAACATAAAACATGAACAATTAAAACTTGAATAATTCTAACAAAATACTAAAACTATAATTCCCTGCCTCAATGTCAAATACATCTTCCTATACTTGATCTATTCCTACAATTGACGATTAGCCCAAACATAAGCAACACAAGCATAGGGAGTGAGCATACATGTAATAACCCGCCATGATCTCTACACTACATGGAATCACCCTACTAGATAGTTTAACTAAGAGAGAGATTATTTATTGGATAACAATATAAACATGCATCTGAATAATAAAATAAAAACCACATTTATATGAATAAATATAAATATGATGTATATACAACTATCCAAAAGGAATAATACTTCTCTTAGTGCCAGTCAAGCACATCCTACCAGTTATCTGAAATGGTAACTCTAACACTAGGACAAAAACTCCAGCATCCAGCAACAACCCGTTCAATGTTGAATTTCAAGAAGATATAGAGTAACCTAAGACTTTAAAGCTACAAGGGAAGGTTAACAAATCAAAATATTGCAAATTTCATAGCGAGTCGAGCATGATACATAAGATTGTTTTTAGTTGAAGGATGTAATCAAAGAACTTATTAGAATAGGCCCAAAAGTCCAAGTGAAAGTTCAAAGTAAAGTTGATCAAGGAGCTTGGGGAGGAATACACCACTGTTGACACCTAATTTTGTTCGGGACATGCAAACAAGGAAATGGAATTTTAGTACGAGAAAAAAAAATTTGTGAAGACTCGAAAATAACATCAAAATGGACCAATATGACATTAGAAGGCTCAAAGCCCATAAAGGGGTGAATTAGGAGCCCAGAATGGGCCGTTCCAAAATTCTAAATTGGCCTAGAAACCCTAGGTCAAAACGGGGTGTTCCCAATCCGGATTGGATCGTTTTGACCCCAGGTTGTTATGAGGTAAATTCAAATTCAGAATGGGTCGGGGCCGATGGTGAAGTGCCTTACAGGAAGAGGTAAGGTAGCGCTCTAATTTCAAAATGGGCCACTCTAGATTCAAATTTTGCTCTTAACAAACTGACTCAAAATGGGTTGTTCTGGTGACCAGAATGGGCCATTCCAGTCAGGCTTGACGCTTATAAACACAAGCCTTAGGTACAGTGCTCGGGGACCGAAATTGGATAGGAAACAAAGCGAAAATTGCCTGCTAGAATATGATATAGCTCAAAATCTTCTTTTTCTCTCCCTCTTTGTATTTCTTGAGATTTGTGAGATGAATTATAGTGTGTAAGGCAGCCAAAAAGTGCCTCAAGACCACTATATTGGAAGCATACTTTATAAAAGCACGTTCAAGAGGTATTCTCATCAAATTCTTTCTCTATCATTTACTTTTTCTATCATAAACATTGCTACAAATAAAGCGACCCTGTAGACATTTTAAGTTTAAGCATATAAATTTTGAATTAAGGATGTAAATAACTATTAATAAAGGGGACTAAATATTTGAACTTTTATTCACTATTATGCTAATTTCATCATTTGAACTTACATGTAATTGACCCCCCGAACCCAATTTTAGCTATGATGACCATAATTGATCTGCGAAAACCTTTTCCTTTTTCCAATATTTTATGTAATATATTGGTGGTGACTCCTTCGAACTCTTTTCTAAAACCATTGATTAGGGATTAGTCTGGTTTTGGGCATTCCCTAATTGATGAGATTTTCAAACGGAGGTTTAAACCATTTGTGAGTAAGATCAAAATTTTTTGGATTCCAATAGATGGTGACTCCACTAGGGAAGCTTAAAGAGGCTCAGACCCAAATAATGATGAAATTAGCAAAATAAGAATAATAGTTCAAATATTTCTCCCTTTACATTGTTTGTTTTGTATGAATTTTATTTGGCTTTAATACTTGTATGCTTGTTTAAATTTTTCACCTATTTGAAATAAACAATTAATTATACACAAATCCTTACACACAACAGTTCCCTCTATACTTGAAGGCATGAGCGTGTAAACATAAAGAGTGGTTAATGTATGACCGGCCTGAGAATGGCCTTAGAGCCTGCGAGCCTTGTCAGAAATCACACTTAAGGTGATAACCAGCTACTCTAAGCTGAAATACTATGTCAGACCTTAGAGTTTGTCAGGTGACGGCAACAGAGGTACCAGGTCCCTATAATAGGGGCACCTTGGGAGCCTGTAAGGAATAGTAAGGATAATTAGAACCTTCCTATACAAAGCACTTTCTTTGACAGGGACCGTAGACCATGAATTTGAACGTGACTGCTCGTGGATGTATATTGTTTGAGCATATGATTGTTGCATTATTGTTTGTTCAAACCATTTGTTTTTTATATATAATTCCCCTAAGATAAAAAATAATAAATGTGAATATGCAAAAGAAAACATGTTTTCCACCCATAT